TGTCCTTCCTGGAGGCGGAGCGTCAGGCAGGTGCCGCTGCTGCCTCCTGCAGCCCCTGCGGTTACTCCCAGGTGCGCTACCTTGGAGAGCAAACACAGGGGCAGGCCCTGGGGACAGCCTGGCCGCTTCCTCCCCAGCCTCCGCCCTGGGGACTGGCCTCACGTCCCAGATTCGCTCTCCCCTCGGGCTTCTCCCAGGCCCCTTGGGAGGAAGCACCCTCTCCCGGGGGGTGGGGGGAAGGGGCGCTCGGCGTCCAGTCTCCCCACCCTGGTTTTGCCGCCGATGTGAACCCTCTCACGGCCTGTCTCAGGGACCCCTCGCCGGTTCTCGTTTATCACTAGGACTCTCGTGTATCTTGGCAGTTATGGACCCACGTGCAAAATGCACGTGGGCAGGTCAACGTAAGATTTATATTTCCTGTCGGTCTAGTGGCATTTGGGTAGATGCCATGCCGAGAAATCGGGTGGGGAGGCCGGCGAGAGGTGGCATCTCGCAGCTAAAGGTGAGCCTTAGCGCAGCGTTACTGGCTCCGTTGATCGAAGCTGTAAATATAAAATCCTCATTTCCCCTAAGTCTTTAATACACAACTTGCGTCGCCGTGTTCATGAGTCTAGCTATGTCTTCCCCGCCAGTTAATGACTAATATTTACTTGTTATTCTATCCATGCTAAATCGGCGTGTCAATCTGACAGTTAATTCTCCTAAATATTGAACATCGTTTACAAACTTGATTAATCGCATTCCCTGAGCTTTGGCGTTTCTTCCCACAAGTACAAATTTGATTGTCGTCAGTGCTTCGAGCGTCTGACGAGACTTATAAACGCCAGACACGGACTCGCTAAGCACTGAAACGGTATTTACAGACCTGGTCCGTCCAGGATCACTGACTGACCCAGAGGCTTCAAGCTTTCACAATCCATCGCGTTCTCGTAAATATTTCTAGTCGTCAATATTCTTACCGCGGTCAAACGCTCTTGCTCTGGCCCTCTGCCTGTTACACCCGTTGGTACCGGGCAGCTGGAAGCAGCAGGAGGAAAAACGCACAATCACGCTTCTTGGCTCTGCTTTAAGTCTGCGCCCACGAGTGTCCAGCTGTCCCCGAGTACCGCCCGCCCCGATGCTGGGTTCCCTGCTGTGCTTGGCCTCTCGCGGCCCCGCCCAGCTTTCCCTCTCTGTCTTTCTTGGAGGACGGTAGGACGGTCATTCGCTCATTCGCCTTTTTTCCTCTTTCTAAATTATTTCTCTTTTAACATCGTGATGATTTTTTCCCCGCTGCCTACCACGCCTGGTCTTCCTAGGCGGTCTCCCATCCAAGGACTAACCAGGCCCGACTCTGCTGAGCCTCCGAGATCAGACGCGGTCGGGCTCGTTCAGGGGGGCGTGGCCGTAGACAAAATCATGATGATTTTTGGTTGTGGTAAAGCGTGCGTAAGGTGAAACTCGCCATCCTAGCCCTTTCTAAGGATCCCAGGGAGCCCCTTGCCGCTTGCCCCTCCCAGGTCCCGGCGGACGACCTCACCTACGACATGACCGGCAGGAACAGTCAGAGAAGAGTGTTTCTTCCTTCCCGCTGCAGACCTACGACCCGCCCGCGTGGGCACCACCTCACCCGCCTCCCCTCTTGCAGGCCCGGCCCTGCCACCCTGCGCCCCGGCACCCTCGGCTGCTCACGGCCCCGTGTCGCCCCAGCTCCCCCCTGCACGCCCAGTGTGCAAAGCTTTCCTGGGCTTTTCCTCCCCTTCCAGCTGCTACCCTGTCATAGGAAAAGTTCTTCACAGAGCTGAGACGCCTGCTTCCTCTCCGCCTTGCTCTGCAACGCACCCCGCCGCCCGCCAGCCGTGCCCTCCCCGTGAGGGACACACGCCCGCTGGAGTTCACCCCCTCCCCAGACCTCAGAGGGCCCCGAGGCGCGGGAGTCCCTCTCCCAATGGCCCCAAACCAGCTCCATGGGCGCGAGGGGCTGGTCCCTGGAAGCAGGAGCTGTGTGTCTGGACTCATGTGACGCGGGCTGGTCGCTGGGGAGGCGCTGGGGAGGGTGAGGGTGGGGGTTGGGGGGCTTGGCCGTTCAGGCTGGAGGGAGGAAAGCAAAGCTGGGGTGGGGGAGGCAGCGCAGGGAGCCAGCTCCCTCTGGCGGGGAACTCGGGGAATCAGAGAATTCTGATAGAGACGCGGAGTGTTCGTCCGGGGAAGGTGGGCTTCTCCGCAGCGGCTTGGGGCCTGATGGCCTTTAGCCATTTAGACGCGTGATGTGTACGCCCTGCCTCGGACCCGTGACGCCACGGCCGCCCGCCCCGGCCAGATGTGGCCGAGGCCCACGGAGCCGCCCTGTGGAGGCTGCCGTTGGCCTCTGGT